AGAATGAAAGCATGAAAAATGCGAGAAAAAGGAATGAGAATAAAAGAAAAAGGGTCAAAAGTAAAGGAAAGAATTGAAAGAAAATAGCAAAGAGAAAGAATCATAGAGAGAAAGAATAAAAGTAAGGGAAATGGTAAAAGGAATAGTAAAGGGAAAAATGAAAGTAAGGAAAAATAGGAAAATGAATCAAAAAAATAAATAGGAAATGAAAACAAAGAAATAATGAAGTTGAAAAGAATGAAAGTAAGAGAAAGTAATGGAAATGTGAAAAGCGAAGAAAAAGAATGAAAAGGAGAATGAAAGAAAAGAAAAGGTAAGCGAAAAGGAAAAAGCAAAAAGGAAAGAACAAAGAGAACAACAAAAGAAAAGAACAACGGAAGAAAAGAACAAGAAAATAAAAGAGTGAAGGTAATAAATATGAAAGAAAATAATAGAAATAAATAAAAATAAAAAAATGTAAGGTATAAGCGAAAATATAAAAATAAATAAAATTGAGAAAAACAAATAGTGAACGAAATTAAATGGGATTGTAAAGAGTAAATAAAAGTGAAATATAAATAAAACCATAATAAATAAGCCGAAGTTTATAAAGAAATAAAAATATATGAAAGTGTCAGAATTGACCAAAAGTATGTATGCAAAAAATATGAAAGTATAGGTGGGTAAAAAATAAATATGTATGAACCGAGTAAAAATGTGTAGTGTGAAACGATGCAAGAAACATAAAACATGAACAAATACAAAAAATAGAAAAAGATAGAAATACGAAATTGAAGCAGCGAATATTAGATAAAGCTTGATAAATTCACAAAATAAAAAATAAAAAAATAAAACTGTAACCCTTCAGACTCGGTGTAAGCTTCTATTTCAGCTGCATTGATTAAGTCGACCATTTTCTGGATCATGAACATAACTATTTTTAGTCATCTGTTTATCGTATACTAATGAATATTGGCAAATTACACACAAAATTATCATTCTTGTCTTCTAAACTGTCATTCGATGAAACTGATAAAATACATAAAATATTAGTATTTGACAAAATATCCCGATATCATAAGTTATTGGCTGCTTCGCATCCAATAACTATATATTATCAATCACCAAATATCATCCTAGACATTACAGTATTCATAAATTGCTTCACAAATAAGTGCTGCCAAGGGAAATTCACAGTTCGGACTTTTAATTGTATTTTGTACCAGACACAATCGCTAATAAATTAGAATAGATTGTGTCTGGTACAAAATACAATTGAAAGTCCGTACTGTGGATTTCTCTTAGCAGCATTCAAATGTAAATCAACCCAGGTAATGTAAATAGTGCAAAACAACCATGTCCCATAGTACACTAGTTAAAATTAGAGATTCAATATAGTGAATTTTTTAATTTTAACTAGTGACACCTAGATTATAAATCTTTGCAACCTTGAATTTCCAGCACTGGCATGGTCCAAGATTTGCTTGGTTGACTGTGTGTAGTGATGGTAGGTTCTGGCTTTTTTATAACATGTTTTTTTATAATTTTTTGAATATTTGTGGGTGTAAATTCTTTCTATGGACCAATTCCAGGTAAAGGTCTTGCATAAATGCATCCCGCTTCGGTCTCGTTATTAAACCAAGACCACTCATGCCAGTTCCAGATTCCCGCTATTGTGCCCAGTGCTGTATCATTATTACCTGTATAATTAAAAATACATTTATTACTATATAGTAACAAGTTGTATAGCTTGACATAATAAAGATGCATTCAGGTGAAAAAAAATTTATTGTCTATTTATATGTTATAAATATAGAGTTATATACTTATGCTGATTTCGATTTGGCTCTAAATGAGCAACATGTGTCCCTCCTAAATCTTTTATCGCTTCTTCAATATCTTCACCAGAGTTTATATCATGACCAAATTTGACATATCTCTTAATAGCATGAGTTATCTGTGAAAAAATTGTTGTAAAAATTACAATAATAATTTCAGGTTTATATTATTCCTCAAACAAATAAATATTTCAACAATTACAACTCATTCTCGTTATGATGAAGATTCGATATAGTGAAAATTTTTGAATTACGAATAATTAAACTTCAACTCGATATATTGAAGTATATATAGTAATTCTCTCGTTATTATGCTTAGCCAGATTACTATACTATAACGAGAATAAGTTATATCTCACTGAAATGGCAACTAATATTCAAATTCACTGAAGAAAAAAAATATCAAATTTCACATTGATGAAAAATAATAATCGAAGAATAATATGGACCCAATATATTCAATGCTTTTTTTTTTCTTATTATTATTTTTTTTTTTTACAAACTTGTGCATGATGAGAATCTATTAAGGTTTTAGCTTTGCCCGCTTTTAAGAATAGCTATTTTTTCACAGAAACATTATACCATTCTTTCCACTTTCCTAATATTATCATCAGCTCGGTATTGTGATAATGAGGGCCATTATCCGAAACAATAGTAATCCATTTGGGCATATGATCTAGGCTTTCAAGTACAGTATGAAGTGAGGACGCGGTAAACCAAGCGTCTTGCTTGGTATCACTGCTCTAGTGATCAAATGCTTGAATATTAAGCTTACTTGTCTCGGCATTTTTGGTGTATATAAGGACAGAATAGAGGGTCCAGCTGCGCTTACCAAAGAACTCAGGTTTTGTTTCTTGTACACTTTGTGGGAGGATTCTCATTTTATAATCCACAATAAACAAAGCCCTATCTATATTAAGTTGAGCAAGTTCGACATTCAATTGTGCATTAAGGTATGTCTTTCGTGCATGATAAGCTATAAAATAAATTAGTTGATTTTGATACTCAATTAAAGATTCATGAAACTCATCATCCATATTCGCCTTTAGGTTATCAAAAAAGGTAAATAAGTTGCTACAATTTTTGCAAATTTCGGGATGATCTAAATGGCAATTATCAAATGCGTGCTGGAGGCAATAACTAATACATGGTGAGTGTAAAGCAACGCCCATTGATGATACTTTTAAGTTGGTGGCAAAATCTTTACGTAGATAACGTCGTAAATTTTGAGCTATTCCATGCATATTTTCCTTTTTTTTTTTTTTTAAGTGACGCCTATTTCCACCATGAAAATTTACTGGAACAGTAAATTTACATGGTGGAAATAGCCATCTTTTCTTTTTTATCAAAAGAAGTTTAGTTTATTTGCTATTGTTAAAATTAAATACAGTATTCAAAAGTAAAAATTAAAAAAAAACTATACCTTAAGTTCATTATCTTTAATTCTAGCATCAATTAATGTTTCGAGTTCTTCAAAAACCTCATACTCTAGCTCATTACATGTAGTGCAAAGACCACCTAGATTTTCTTTATATACAAACCTGCCACCTTCCAATCGAATCATAAAGGTTGTGCATTGCATACCATTGAGATATTTCTCGTGAAATTTATTTCATAAAGCTTTCTTATGATCTTGAAGATATAATATAGGCAAACCCGTCGATTCATCTGTTTTATATAATGACATATTGACATTTCCTTTGGTTGTAAAGAATAATTCAAATTGATTTAACTGCTCAGTTATTAGCTTTGTGCGATGAATAACTGGTTTTGTTAAAGCTGGAGCACCATATCTATTTATTTTTGTATGTTTTCGTGATTCTGAAATTGTATGATTCCTGACCTATTAATGTTAATTTAAAATTATATAACTATTATTCAAATTCATATAGGACTTCTTGACATTAATAAACTTATAAATGGGTGATGCCAAAAGAAAACCAGACTTCAATTATATAAATTTATGATTGAAGTCTGGTTTTCCCTTGGCATCACCCAAATAATACTTGCGCCTAAATTGGTTTTTAACTCCGAATAACTAAAATCGTTGGCAATTACTGATAGAATTCGTCTTTTTCCATTCTTTGTTTTTTTGTTATCTGCTAGTGCTTTATTAAAGCATTGCCAAAAAATACAAGTTTTATTAGAAACATAACTTGGTGAGCTATTTAAGAATCCCAAATTGTATAATTGTTGAAGTATAGCCCGATCATTTTCATGCAGTGTATTTTTCGTCCATAATTGATACTGTGTTATAGAAATAAATAAACTTGAATTAGTATTTGTTTTATTTTAGAAGTTGAAACTTTACCTTTGATTCTTCAGATGCCCATGGAGTTATATTTTGACAACCACTTGCACGAAGCATCGCATGCCAAGCACTTATTTCACGATCACTAAATTGGTAATCCGGAGGATAAATATCTCCAAGACTTGAATAAAGTTCGATGATGTTAGTTTGACTTTCCTGCCATTTTAGAAATAAACTATGCTAATTTATATCTGCAAGCATCCTTCGTTTTAAGTGATAATCAAAAAGAAACTTCATAAGAGCATAATTAGACCAGTTTTTTGGTAAACAAGTAGGAACATGATGTTGGCAAATTAGTGATTGCACATCAGAATTGTCGAGCCCAAAAAGTTGAACGCCAGTATATTTTTGAATATTTAATTTTTGCCACACTTTATTTGGAAATGACTCTTCAATCCGGTTTTTAATTTCAAAGTCTTTATGAACCTCAACTGCACAAAAATCATCTTCTATCGTTGAAAAGTATAGAATGCTTGTTCTATTTACATTATGAAGAAGTGAAGATTTATATTCCGGTCCACCATGATTCCATTCAGTATTTGAAGAAGATCTAATGCCAGAAACAAAAATTTTGTATTCACTAAGCGAAGAAAATATAGGAACAAATGATACATCTGTTAATAGCTGTTCAATTATTGATTCGTCTGTCCATCCAAGTGCTAAAAATCCGGAATAACGTGTTTGAGTATTGAAGATCTCTTTATATACTGTAGAAATTGCTGTGGTTGGATCCGGTTTTATGCTAGAACAAGAGCCACTTTCACAATAAAATCTAGATAAAAAAGAATTTTCAGAGTAGTTAATAATAACTATTATAAAAAATTCATGTTTGTTTAAAATTATTTTTGTTTTTTGACCAATTCGAATAGGAATTTTTTTTTTTGCTTATAGTAGAAGACCACTACCAGTATCACGAAAATGTGCCATAATGAATATTTTCATCTAATACCCCTTTTCTATTAATACAGCAAAGAGTTTTGTCATTTTTTATGATCTTTAAGAACCAAACTTCACAGATTTGTACGTATATGATAAATCATTAGTATACTTATCCCCGAAATATTCTATAAAATTATGCTTAATTTGTGCCGATCTTATCCGGATCGGCAATTAAATATTTCAAAACAATTTGAAATATATAAAACATATTAATTAAATAAAAAGGTTTTACTGGTCTATTGATGTTTTTTGTATAATAGGCATTCTACTGACTTGGCGTATTTTTCTTGTAATCTTCTTTATAATTATTCCTAATATATCTATTTAATTCCACCCTGA